CCACTCTCATTACTAATTACATGGTGAGAATGAGAGTGAATTCCTATTCACAAGGGATTTACCCTTATCGTTTACGAGCACCTTAAGATAAGTTTTTTGGTAAGATAATTCTAATTCGTTCTTACGTCTGTTTACACGAGGAGCTCTCACGTGGTCATGTTTGAGAGTAAAATATGTAATAATACCGGATAAATATTCAGGGGGCTATATCGGGATCTTCGGGATTTTTGGGACCATTTTGGAGCTTACGAAATTACCTCGAGATTCCGGGGTTTCTCGGCACTTTACAGCGATCTTCAAGACAACTTCAATTGCGACGCCCCCCACCACCACCACAGGGCGGCAATCACCTCAGCAGCACACACAGCCAACGGCGGCAAGAACATACACCTCACTCACACCCCACATCACGACACGTCTCCCGAACCACATGAAGCTCCTCCAATTCAACTGTAACGGGCTACAGAGCAAGATTGAGGAGATAACCGTCTTCATGTGTCGGCATGGTATATTAATAGCTGCGGTCCAAGAGACGAAGTTGCACAGCAATTCAACTTTGTTGAATTGCGCCGGGTACAACGTGCACCGTCGAGATCGCGAGCGAGATAATGGTGGTGGCTTAGCGTTCATCACGCACCACACCGTGCAGTATCGTCTTATCGAAGCAGACATCGACCGCAGGGATACCACCCTAGAATGTCAGGGCATCGCTATCCGGTCAGGCGATGTCGAGCTCGAAATATTTAACATATACATACCCCCTGTCACCTGCTGCCCGGCAGGATATCACCCTGATATAGGTGCGCTCCTCAGAGGTGAAAACCGTATGGTAGTAGGTGACTTTAATGCGCACCACGATCTTTGGCACTCAAGCCTGTCAAACGATCGTAGGGGAACAGACTTGGCTGAGCAGATAGACGATTCGACATTCTGCACAATGAACGACGACGCACCCACCAGGATTATGGGTAACTGCAGTAGCTCGCCAGACATCACAATAGTCAGCGCTGGTCTGATGAACAGCATAACGTGGCGACCTATGCTGACTCTAGCATCAGACCATCTACCCATAGTCATCTCGATTGATAAACCAACCGACTTTGCCTCCGCCAAACACCGGACCTATATCAACTTTTCCAAAGCTGATTGGAAAGGTTACGCGGAGTTTACTGAAAACAACTTCGCAGCGCTCCCCACACCAACCGACGTCCATCTCGGTGAACGTAAGTTCCGCAGGGCTATCACTGCTGCTGCAGCTCGGTTCATGCCGGCAGGACGTATATCGGACCCACGTCCAAACTTCCCTGCCGAAGCGGCTGTTCTAGCCTTCGTCAGGCCGATCCCGGAGATCCCCGTATCAGGGATCTCAACGCGGAGATTCGGCAACTTGTAAACGTACATAAGCGGAAGAAGTGGGAGGAGCACCTGAAAACTTGTACTTTCACCTCTGGTGTGAGTAAGCTTTGGTCAACCGTGAGGTCATTGTCTAATCCGACGAAGCACGACGACAGAGTCGAAATTTCCTTCGGCAACCATGCTTCGTCGGACCCGGAGCGATGCGCGAGCTATTTTAGCCGGCAGTTCATACTGCATCCTCCGGTAGACAAAGCCAAGCGTCGAGTGACCAGAAGGCTGCACAAACTGCCAACAACTTGTGCCCCCCTTGCTTTCACTTGCGGTGAAGTTCAGGTGGCCATCGGGAAGGCGAAAGCCTCCAAAGCCATGGGTCCCGATGGAATATGCATGCTGATGCTGAAAAATTTGGGTCCTGTGGGGGTAGCGTACCTAACGGAGGTCCTCAACCTGTCAATGGCCACTCTCATCATCCCAGACATCTGGAAGGTGGGGAGAGTGGTCCCACTGCTCAAACCGGGGAAACCCGCCAACAAAGGAGATTCGTATCGTCCGATTACACTCCTTTCCCCGGTAGCGAAGACACTCGAGGCCTTGCTACTCCCGTACTTCACAAACCACCTGACCCCAGCGAAGCATCAGCATGGTTTCCGTAAAGTGCACAGTACAACAACAGCACTTAACGCCATAAACACTCAGATAACTCGTGGCCTTAACCGCAACCGTCCCTGTGAGAGAACGATTCTAGTAGCGTTGGACTTGTCAAAGGCGTTTGACACGTCTGCCATTCCACGCTGCTAGAAGATATAGAGGCCTCCTCTCTCCCACAGAGGCTCAAACGGTGGTCGGCAAATTATCTGAGTGGTCGACATTCGTCGGTAACATTTAGAGACAAAACGAGTAAGCAGCGAAAAATAAAACACGGGGTTCCTCAGGGTGGTGTCCTTTCCCCGCTACTGTTTAACTTTTATATTTCAAAGCTCCCTCAACCACCTGAGGGAGTCTCGATTGTCTCCTATGCCGACGACTGCTCGATCATGGCGACTGGGAATGGAATTGATGACCTGTGTTTGAAAGTAAACGGCTATCTCTCCGAACTTTCTCGCTTCTTCACTGCAAAGTGTCTAGCCCTCTCCCCTACGAAATCCTCCGCGACCCTGTTCACAACCTGGACGAAGGAGGTCAGGCTACCGCTGGGGATTCACGTCGATGACACACCAATTCCGACGGTGAATAACCCCAAAATACTCGGAGTAACATTCGACAGCCTGCTCTCCTTCTCTGCGCACTCAACCGCTATTGTCAATAAAGTACAGAGCCGCAACAAGGTCCTCAAGTCGCTAGCCGGCAGTACTTGGGGCAAAGACAAAGAAACGTTGCTGGCAACATACAAGGCAATAGGCCGGCCGGTTTTGAACTACGCAGCGCCAGTGTGATCGCCAGGGACTAGTAGGACGCAGTGGACGAAGCTACAGACGGTACAAAATACGGCACTTAGGACAGCGACGGGATGCCTCCTGATGTCGCCTGAACACCACTTGCACGGCGAGGCGCAAATGCTCCCAGTTAAGGAGCATAACATAATGCTCTGCAAGCAGTTCCTGATCGGGAGCCACAGAAGTGGCCACCCAAACAGACAGCTGCTTGCAGAGGAGCCCTCGCCTAGGCACGTCAGGAGGCATCTATATGAACTGACGGACGAAGTCCAGAGGTTCATTAAGCAACCTCTGGACCCGACAGCGTACAGACAGGCCCTGAACGGCATTCACAGGGACTCAGTCTCGAGTTATGTAGACTCTAGACCTGTGAATGCCGTTCTAGGCATACCACCCCCGGACATAGACGAGACAGAGCTTCATCTGCCTCGGGAGACACGCACTACACTCGCTCAACTTCGCTCCGGCTACTGCAGCAGGTTAAACTCCTACTTGAGTAGGCTGAATGAGGATGTGCCGAACGAATGTCCGGCATGCGGAGAGACCCCACATGACTCGAACCATCTCTTCGCATGCCCGGAAAACCCGACAACCCTAACGGCCTTGTCCCTGTGGACAGATCCCACAGAAGCTGCACGCTTCCTAGGGTTGCCGTTAGTGGAACTTGACGACAACGACTGAGATACCAACCGATCTGGGCGGGGTTGTTGTAGCCGCTACAACAACAACAACAACAACTTCGGGATTTTTTAACTATTTCGGGATTTTCGGGGCTAATTCGGGATATTTGGACTATTTCGAGATTTTTGGGACTAATTCGGAACTTCAAGGAATATTTTGGGTTTTTCGAGACTACTGCAAAATTTTCGGGATTATAGGGACTGTATCGGGATTTTTTGGACTATTTCGGATTTTGAGTACTAATTAAAGTTTTCGGCATTCTCGGTACTGTTTTGGGATCTTGAGGACTACTTCACGGTTTTTGGGACTATTTCTGGATTTTCAAGAGCACTTGGGGATTTTTGAGACTTCTTCAGGTTTTTCAGGGTTTTCGGGACTATTTCGGGTTTTTCGAGACTACTTCGAGATTTGAAGGGTTCTGGGGGCTATATCTTCGGGACTACTACTAGATTTCCGGGACTATTTCGGGATTTGCGAATCTACCTCGAAATTTTGGATATCCGCGCCCCAGAATCTTCGGATCTCGAAGTAGTCTCAAAAAACCCGAAATTCCCATCATTTCCGAATTAGTCCCAAAAACCTCAGAATAGTCCAAATATCCCGAGGTTTTCCCGAAAATCCCGATATAGTGCCGAGAATCCCAAAAATCTCAAAACACCCGAAGTAGTCCAAACTCTAGAATTAGCGCCGAAAATCCCGAAATAGTCACGAAAATCCTCGAAATCTGGAGGTAGTTTCATAATAGGGGTCTGCATCGGAAGATATTTGGTTTCACATTGAAGTTTACTAGCGAACACCTTCCTTCCTCCTTCTCTTCCTCTCACTGAGAGCGCGGATAGTGAAGAGAAGTATAGTCGCTAAGCGTCGGGTAACTAAGTAAAGTACTCGACAAAAATGTGTTCCGAAAAAGAGAGGAACATAAAAGAAGAGCACAACGTTGTGAAACTTCCGCAAGTAAAAGCTTCCTTCATGTGAAGTTTTCAAGTATTTTAGGAAGATTTCGTTTGAGAGCATAATTTAGATATAAGAAATATGACATGTCTCGTGCACATAAAATATATTTACGTTTATTTTTATATGTTTTTTATATATATACATGTAGATATGTACATTAGACTGCATCACTCCCCATACAAAAAAAAATCGGTACTGTTTTTCCATTGGAATTATAAAATCTATTATATTTTAAGACGTCCACCAAAATATTTCGCAAAATATTACGATTTAAGTGAGCTGGACCGATTTGAAAATACCTCCAAAGATGGAGTTTTTTATGAATAAAAATAGTTTTTTAAACATTTTTTTGGAAAAAATCCCCTCAAATGACAAAACGTTTTAAGCTTAAAAAATTTGCGTAAATATATTTTTAAAAAATTAAAAAAAAATTTGA